TTATGTCGCTCTTGCGCTGGTCGCGCCCTGTCGTGCTAGCCCTACTGATCAGAAGCGATAGAGTAACTGTAACAGATAAATAAATTCGCTTTTCCAGCATTTATGACCGTCCGCACCCGTTTTTCCGTTAGCGCACGCGATAATATGCTGCTGCGTTCTAAAAAACCAAGATTACCTACAAGCGGATTGTCCGCGACCGCTCTGAATTAAACACACAGCTCACCTGTGTATCAGATTGTTTCGACTCGGGACAAAAAGCTGTCAACCGCGTGGGCACGTAGTTCACGTTTTCAAGTTTCAGTGGCATCGCCATTGCGACGCACCCTTGTTCTGAAAGCATTACAATTATAATATAAATGTTTGAGAATAGTGTTTGAACAAATATGAACATGCAATTGGCCAGTAATAAATCTACTTAGTGAACCTGTACTGAGGTGATCGAAGACGTGTATATGTAAGATTGTAGCTTTATAGCGACCGATAAGCCATTGCTCGTTTCGTCATTTAAAACCGCTCAACGTACATAATACTCAAGGACATTCTACGCACGGATATGCTGCACACGGACGCGCTGCGCACGGACGCGCTACTCACGGACGCGCTACGCACGGACACGCTACGTATGTAGACAGCATGATCATCAACCCATTTATCCGTTTTTATGGGCGCAGGGTTTAGGTCATAGTCCGCCACGTTGGCCAAATGCAGGTTAGAGACTTCACGTTTTCCGAGGGTGTTGTGAACCTTCTTCAACGTACTGATGTCATCACGATGTTTTCCTTCACCAAAAAGCTCATGGTTAGTTTAAAATTTCGCACATCAATTTAACTAACTGCTTCCATGGTCGAACGCTTACCATGCCGGACTGCCACGCAGACGTCCCCAGGTTCGATTCCTGGGCCGGGAGAAATATTTGTATGGCCTACATTTATATCTCCCGTGAGTTTGGGTGTAATTTGTGGTTACATGGCACCCGCGACACAGGGATTCCCTAGTGCGAGCTATGTTGAGAGTGTGCGTTATAATTATTATTAATTTCGAAAAAGTCAGAGGTGTGTAGCCCGGATTAGAACTCGGTTTGAGAGGCGGTAGGTCAAACCAATAAGCTACCATCGCGTTACACAGCTAACAGCTTCGCTACATATCAAAAGTCAGTAACGGCAGTGTGTTTTGCGGCAGTTTATATGACAGCGTACGTGCATTCGCTTTGTAAAGGTTGTCCAATAAGGATATAAGGATTTTGTATTTCAATACAACACAGAATAAATGAGATAAATAAAATACAAAGTAAATGTGTGCAATATTTTGTTTTTCTTTTAACATACACTCAAATTGCACTATATTTACGAATGTAGGTAGGCGGCTGTTCCTCGACCGATAATCATGGATACAGCATAAAAAAAAACAATTCTACAGGTCGCCACGTAGGCGAAATTTTGAATTTTAGTCTGTGGCCTGATATAATTGTGATCAAAGATCAGCATGTTAAGTCTATGGGAAGTATATTCAATTGTGAATTTTCTGCGCGCGAATGTGCAGAATTGTGAAAAAGAGACATAAGGAAAGAGACAAGAGAGATTGCTGCGCTTTGATAGGAAATCGGTATTTCGCCTGGTATGTCAAAAATACCTGGTAGATTCTTCCTAACATTAACATTTTCAATCATGTAAATGCCGCTCTTTCCGAGCAAGTTCGAGATAGTACGATCTGTCAGCTCTCTGGTCTGTTCAGATTCGATGGACGGAGCGTCAGTCGCTATGGCTACCACGTGCGTCAGATTAGCTGCTATCCACTCTGCGAGCTCGTAGCTTATTCCTGAAACATATTTCATTAACACATTACTATCATAGAATCTCTTTAGTTCGATATATTTAAAAGAAGATTTTTAAAAAGATACTGGCGGTGCCGATTTTGAATTTCGCCAGTATCTACTTTTCGTTAATTTGAAAAAGTCTTCTGCAGATTCTGTTATTCAACGAATATTGTGAGTGTACTTAGGGCGCACTATAAGTTTCCGGACCTGGCCACTTACATAAACAATATTTAGAAAGTAATTACAATATTTGAAAATGGAACTCTTCGGCTGTAGACTACAGTTTGTTTCATCTGACTTGACAGTTTGTTTTTACATTGTAGCGTCATTTTCGAAATTGGTTGTCTATATCACCATGGATTTAACTCGTGAAAATTTTCGTAGTATGATTTTCTACGACTTTAAGTGTAATTTAACAGCTCAGCGGAGCTTCGCTCAGCTTCAAACTGCTTTTGGCGATGAAGCACCATGCAAGACGACTATTTGTAGCTGGTTTGCAGAAATCAAACACAGTCGTGTGAATCTCAGTGACGAATTTCGTAATAGTCGCCCGTCCACTGCTGTGAACAATAAAAACATCGATTCTTTGCGCCTTATGATCAAAACAGACAGGCATACCATGAGATTCGGGCTTCTTTAGGAATAGGTATGAGTCAAATACAATCAATACTACACAAACATTTGGGTGTGAAAAAGCTGTGCTTTCGGTGGATCCCACACAATTTGACTGAGGCTCAAAAAACGGATCGCGTCACTTGGTGCAATGCCATGCTTACCAGATTCAACGAAGGGGCGTCAAATTTGGTGTGGGACATAGTAATAGGTGACGAAACATGGATTTATAGTTACGATCCCAAAAGAAGCTGCTTTCTTCGATCGAGCGTATGGGTCTTTCAAGATGAGCCGAAACCAACCAAAGTGGCGTGCGTGCAAAGTACCTCTAAGTGGATGATTGCTTCTTTTTTTAATAAAACTGGACACGTGGCTACTGTTGCTTTGGAAAATCGTTGTACCGTCAATAGTAATTGGTACACGACCATTTGTTGGCCGGAAGTTATTGACAAACTCTGTAAAAATAATCGTAAACGCCGTACCTTCTTGCACCACGATAATGCCAGTTCTCACACGGCGAGACAGGCAAATTGATTTTTGAAGCTGAACAACATTGACCTTATGAGCCATCCCGCGTACAGTGCCGACCTAGCACCTTATGACTTTTATTTATTTCCAAAAATTAAGAACCAGTTACGCGGTCAACGATTTCCATCACATGAAGAGGCTGTCGAAGAGTATGAAAAATATGTTTCAGAGATTGTCACGGAGGAGTGGCATAAATGTTTTCAAAATTGGTTCATTCGTATGAAAAAGTGCATCAAGGCTAACAGAGAATATTTTGAGAAACAATAAATTCATTTCTGACCATTTATAGTATTGTTTTCATACGTAGAATGTGAGAAAGTACGTAGTAAGTAGTTATAATTTTGAAAAGTCTGTGTTTCTTCAAATTTTTTTACCATCTCCAATGACAGACTCTGAAACATTTGCAAGTCAGGTTTTTTAGTTCCCACAAGTTACATTCTGTGCAAGAGACATATGTATATGCAGTGGCATGCAAAAAGGGCGCTCTAAAAACAGGCATGACTGTAACAACTTAAAGGCAAGCCTTTCGATGTCGGCTAAATGTGCTACTCAGTGTGTAAAGATCCGCATTATATTACAGGATCTAGATTTATCTAATTGAAAATAAAAAAATGTACTTTAGATAAAATGTATTGTAGTGTAAAAATAAACATGAAGAAGAAAAACAATTGTGACTGCACAAAAAATAAACATAAAAGAATTGAAATGGAATAAAAAAGGACTTATATATAACAGAAACAAATTGTATGTCGTTAACACAATGGTAAACTATTGACTTACCAGGGAAATGACAAGCACATTTCTTGTTCTTGTTATTAGTGTCGGGGATTCGACCGAAATTGAACAGAAACATTGTGGGCTCCTTGGTATCGTACCGCATCATTCTCCATTGCAACGCCATATCCTTCGTTAGCACTAAATTTGGCTTGTTTTTTACGAGTAACCGCAGGTCAATTACTATAACTGAAACGGTAATGTAAGTTATAATAATGCCCACAGTTTCAATGTTTCAATACAATACTATGGGTTATGATATTTTCTACAGGAAATAAAATATTACATATTATGCATCTCATTTTGGTTAAGATCTGTTTAATTCCGTATTTCTGCAAATAGGCGTATTCTATTCTATACAACAGTCTTTGAATTTATTTCGAGTTAACTCGTCATTAAATTAAAAGATTATAAAAGTGTCAGACAGACAGTCAGAGTTTTTTTTAATTAAATGGACTTGCTCTTGACCACTACCTAGCCCTGGAGCAAAGATAGGATCTACGATGAAGCGAGCTTGCCCAGAAGATGCCTATACAGGCGCACCTTAAAGATAGCCGGGTTGTATGAATTCGGAAATACAGACGCAGGCAGTGTGCGCATAATAAAAGATGATGAAAAGCGCTTACTACGCCTGTAGAGAATATCGACCAAGTAAGGATGATATCCCGCCGTATGTCCAGACATATGTCCGATGGTAAAAGGGGGCGGGCGGGATGAGCTGATGGAGCTCATGGGCACACTCACCGAAATATATTCTGTAAAAAACCGATAGACGGGCAACTTTGCGCCGGTGGGCTAAACTATGAAGTTTAGATTCGAGCTTATCCTCGCCAATAAGTCTTCTGGCTCTGCGCTCAATCGAATCAAGAGCCTCGAGTTAATACTTCGCTGAGCCATCCCACATGCAAGATCGGACTTCTGCTTTGTATAAAGTTAAAAGCTGTCCAGGCGAGAAATGTCGCTTAACCTTATTGAGGACACTCAGTTTTTTGGCTGCAATTTGTGCCTTACATTCAATGGAATGGATTGCTCTTGACCACTAGGTAGTTCTCTTGACACAGAGCTAGGTAGTTCTGGTACAAATATGAAGTCTACAATGAGACGAGCTCGCCCAGAAGAAGGCTATTCTTCCAGTGAGTAAGAAATATATTTTTCTTCTACTTTTCACCTTACGTGTTAGATGGATATAGCGATGCTTTTTGAATTTTTTTCCGAACATTTCTTGATTTTCTATTTTTGTGCGTAAAGACGCGAGCGGACATAACAAAACTACGGGCACCTTTGACTACGGGTTATTGACTGCAGTGACTTTATGTTACTAGGGTTACCCTAGATTAGGGGGCTTATCTTTGATATATGTATATACCGAGATGTATAAGTTTCGTTCATTAAAATCCACTACTCACGTCGACTTAATAAATATTCCGAAGGTATAGCATACGGGGTCATGGACCCAGGAACTGAGCCAAACTGGGACCCGAGCTCCAAATGCATTGTCGTTCCCATTCCTGGAACCCCGCAGTTGATGCATACTTTCCTGCAATTATAACCACAGACAAATGGTTTCATCCAAAACGGTCATACAGAAGTTAAATTTTAAAAATCTTAAGGTACTTTGCTTTTAATGATGCGATTTGAGGTTGATCTAAACCAGGTCAGACTGCTTTTGCATTTCAGAAACGGGACGATACAAATACCAACTGACCTGGTATAAATTCAATCAGAAATTTTGTCAACGCGAGCTCTGAATGGAAGAATTTGGAAGCATCGAAGTTCAATTGACCCGATTACAAGAATTTGCGTTCCAAGACCACTTAACAAACTCCGATGGAAGAATTTGGAAAAATCAAAATTTAGTGGACGTTACTTTTAAATTGGCCTATGTCTATGCTTTTTTACCGATTTCAAAAAAAGGAGGAGGTTCTCAATTCGACTTAAATTTTTTTTGTATTGTACATTATGCAATAATTTGTGGACCGATTAATGATTCTTTTTTGTTGGAAAGAGGTTACCTCAGTAGTGGTCCTATCTTTAATTTAATTTGAATTCATTATCATAATAAATCAATCCACCTCTAGTGACAAACTAGGGGATGAATGACTTTTGAGGTCGGTTTTTTTAGTATTCTGTACTTATTGAAGTCTTTCTTTCGCCTACGCAACCATGATACCATTTCGCCTTAAGTGCTTAGTGACGTTTAGTAAACAGCTTTTGACAACTCTCAAATTATGCAATAATTCGTCTATGTGTACTAGAGTGTACTTAATAAATATTTATTAACAAATACTAGTATACTAATTGAATTTATATATGTGGGACTGTCTCCCAAAAATGCTTTTAGTTACCTACCTAACGAAGAATAATAAATCGGAAAAAATTGCTTCATCATTTGTAAGCAGTGTATACCTATTTTTCGTCAACAATTTTAATCTTTAATTCACTATTTGCGTCAGTAAAGTGATCGTCTGATGTAATCGTTATTGTTTTAAATTCTAAACATAAGTTTTATGCACGTAGGAAGGTACTCTTTTGCCTTGTAGGTGTGTAGTTCAAGTTTCTAATTCCTTGTTTTTGTATGGAATTAGAACACTAGTAATACACAAAGGTACCTTCACCATTACTCAAGGTAAGGTAAAAGTAATTGACTTTTGATTTTAATTGGTTGATTTTGCTATTACTCCCATTCAAGGCGTTTTTCTCTCAATATACTTTGAGTAGGGTCGTAGTGAGAACCTATTTTTATTATCTCCAGTGTCAAGTCCTGTATAGTGGCGAACTAGGGGATATTTCAATAAAACTTAGCATATAGACGTAATTCCACGTACTTTTGAGGTCGGTTTTTTTAGTACTCTGTACTGAGGTTATGTTTTAACAATTGAAAGTGTAATTGGTCCCACCCATATTCTATGAACACCTAGGTACCCATAAAGCTAAAAAGTTACGTGGCCATTTTGAAACTCTTTTTATTGGATAATGAATTTTATAGTGTAGAGGAGTTTCTTTCGACGGAATTGTAATTTATTCTTATCTGACCTTGTCGTACTTCGACAATATTTTGTGTATATTTATTTGTTTTTACTTACACTATTTTGTTTTATATTATTATTGTTGTTTATGTTAGAGACGATCATATTATCCCTACACATAGTAATGTCAATTGTAACATTGTGACATTGATAATATGAATTTTTTTTTATTATTAAAAAATAAGTGCATATGCGCAGGTCAAATGACCTCCATCTTACCTGTGTGACGATGATATCGATGATGAAGCATGAACACCTAAATAATGCCTATTTTCTCGCCTTAAAAGGGCCCAAGATACCTGTAGATACTGTTCCGGCAACAAACCTGCAGGCAGGGAATTCCACTCCACAGCCATTCGCTATATAAATCCTAAAAGAACTTGCGGATAGAATAGACGTGTTTTCAAGTACCTACTCTGTCTGCTTTCACAAGAACTATAGGCACTTTATTTGCTACGTACCTATATTATAATACTGTATAATGACTGCATTACATATAAAAAGTATCGTTAGTTTCTTTTTAATGATCAATATACTACCTGCTATGGATTTGTACACTATCGCATTGATTATGACCATAGGTACTGTAATGGTACGTGTAAAGTTTTAAGGAACTAAACAAATAATTGTGGAAGGGAGACGCGCGAATTCTTGGAATATCCACAACATAGAAGTGGAATTCCAGCCTACGTTTAGTCCACCGATAATGCAAAGGGGAAGGCGGAATTAAACGTACAATTCCATCGCACATTCTATAACTAATTAGATATTTTGAACATACATGAAATTTAAAATAAAACTACGTGCGAGAATGCGAGATTTCACCACACACACACAAACACACACACATCACTCACCGACTCTTATGAAGTGCATTATAAAACTCCAATAGCGTGTAAAAATTAGTAGAATACGTCATATCTATAACTTCAATCGCCGCCAATTCTATATCAGAGTGTTGAAATCGAAATTGTTGAAAACTGAGCCCGAAAAACGCAACAATTATTTGGAAATGCTTATACATTTTGACACTTTACACCCTCAGTACTTTCTTCTTGAGCTGTATTGAAAGAATAACTAACATTCATAAAAATTTCTGAATTGGCCCGAACATTACGTAGGTCATCATCAGTGATCTAAATTGATTGTTGTTTCTAAACAGTATTGTTTCGTAATTGTTGATCTTTCTTATTCTTATTGTGATCCAATTGCCTCTTTTTATAGATGAATATTTGGTAGACTAGATTATGTGCAGAACTATTTGGAAAAGTACTCATCACAACTTTCGATTATTCATTATACAAAAATCGAAGAAACACAAAGAAGTATTCCTTCGATTCACCTGGTCTCGAACCAGCGTCTGTCGTCTCAATGTGGCTACTGACCTGTGTAAATATCATGGTAGTAAAAAATCATGATATTTAATAGTATAATTTTCTAAGAATAGAATACGTTACTGTTTAATGATTTTATACCACTGCAACGTATCAAAAACCAATGACTTGCAATAAGATTAAAACAACTTTAAATAGACACAAATATCGCAAATTGTTAATCATGTTATTCAAATCATGTTATTCGTTCATACTAATTAATTTGAAAATGATTACGGAAGTTGCCTAGGCTTGTGGTGCTCGTAGATAAAGCGTATGAATTATAAATCTACGACACCCTTTATCTCATTTCACTTCCTATCGCCAGGACACCACTATTCCCTGGAGCATATTTTCTTTCTGTTGGAACGAAAAATATTGGTTGAAAAGAGGCATTGTAATTTTCATCATTTTATAGTAGTCTTGATGGATAGGCATTGTCCGAAATGCGTTACAGGGTTTGTTATTCCGCATCCCAGCTTTTCTTAGATCATCTTACATAATATAGTTCATTTATGGACAGACATTTCAGAAAAAACTGATGTAACCCACTCAGCTGATCATGTAATAAGTTAAAACAACAATATATGACGCGAAAATTATAGCCAGCCTTATATTAGTTTTTGATTGGATATGCGTATTATATACACACACGTATAAAATACGTAATAAAATCTGAAAATAGCAAGATCGCATCAGGAGATAACATCATTAATCCGATAAACATAAGTTTAAAAGCAGGAAGCATCACACGTTCCTTTCAAATCTTTGCCAACAAAATGAGGGTGGTTGTAGTGTTATGTGCTCTTTTGGCTGTAGCCCTTGCGGGTCCATCCCCCAATGCAGATGTGATAGAAAGTCTCTTGAGGGACAAAGCTTGGGCTAGTAAATTTTCTACAAATGTCATTGCTGATGCTTTGCTTGATGTGGTGAGTCAGTACTTCTGTATTGTGAATTTGAACTAGTTAAAAGTAAGAAACGACTTAATTTTTGAACCGAGTAGAAAGATTTGCTTTTTAGAAGCTTTCCCAGTTTCAGCCTTCAGAGATGGTCCACGAAATGCAATAAAGTACTCCTCGAAAATTTTGGATTCATCCTAACCCTGAACTGGAGATTTTTTTTTAGATTTGTTGGATTTCGAGAGACACTTTGATTGATGATCAATGATTCATCATAATGATTAAATTGCATGTAACTTGTTAATACACTACAGTATATTTATCTTTATTTAACTCTTTCTCCAAAGCCCGGCCTCGTACAAAGGTACAATTACCCAGTAGAAGTACACAATGTTCAAACATCAGACGGATACATTTTGACAATCCATCGTATACCCCACGGAAGAGACAGGAACAATGAGCCTGGACCCAGACCAGTCGTATTGCTGATGCATGGAATGTTGTCTTCCTCGGCTGATTATTTGGTACTTGGACCTGGTAATTCATTGGGTGAGTATTGTCGAAGTTGTTTTTTACAACACTTATAATTTCTCTCACTTACTCCCTGTATAAGTAAGAGTGAGGCTGAATCTACTAGTTCTATCCAGACAAAATCTAATGAATTTTCTCTGAATTATAAAATGAATATACTATTGGTCAACAAATGGTAGTTAAGGAAACAAATTGATCTGACAATTCCACAATGTAATTTATCCCACGTATTTGGTACGTACGTACGTTGGTATTTGCTTTGATTAAAAAAGATAAGACCATCGACTGTTCTGTTTTCTGTTTTGATGTTTTCACATCAAACGAGACATTTAGTTATCTTTATGTTAAACTAGCTATCTCTTTCAGGTTACCTTTTAGCTGAACAAGGCTACGATGTCTGGCTTGGTAACGCACGTGGAAATTTTTATTCTCGTCGCCATGTGTCCTTAGACCCAGATAGTAAAACAGATAATGATTTCTGGAAGTTCAGTTGGGAAGAAATTGGCCTTTATGACGTCTCAGCCTATGTTGACTATATTCTTGATATCACTGGACAAGAGAAACTGCACTACGTTGGCCATTCTCAAGGAGGAACTGCGTTTCTAGTGTTGAATTCTTTGAGACCAGAGTATAATGAGAAATTCATTTCATTTCAAGGATTGGCTCCAGCTGCGTTCTTCTATAATAATGAACATAGTATATTTAACTTACTAGCGCCCTATGAGAAACTTATAGAGGTAAGTTTCTGATATCCAGTTGAATATATATGAATAGAAACTGATAAATCTTGAGCGTGTCATGCTCTTATCGTTAGCTATGTTCTTGAATACACGATATCTTGGTAATATTTAATCAATTGAATAGGTAATCCACTTCGTATTGATAGTTTTAAATAGATAAGATTGAGTGAATCAAATCAATACATAGTTAGAAATTTTTTGTGTATTATGGAAATTATTACTATAGGTTGAAATCAATTCTATAGGTGATAATTCAACCTTTCTAAAAGTTGACCATTTGTCGGCATAAAATTGGTACTGCCAGTCAAGTAGACGCCTATGAAGGTAATGATCATTTATTACCTTTTAAATTGAAATAATTTTTTTGGATCTAAATTGCTTATATTTGTATTTATCTTAAACAGTTTGATGTTAATTTATACACGATGTAGGTCCGATAATACATTTCATTTCCAATATGTAGCGATCACGAGTGTCTAGGTGTCGCATTCCAGAACTCTACTCAATGCTCAAGTCAGGATTTGAGCAGACTTGAGTATGATTTCAAGCACTGGAAATACGACCCTAATGGCAAGAATTTGAGTATGATTTTCAGTGCTCACTGCAATACTCAAGTCCTGACTTGAGTATTGAGTAGAGTTCTAAAATATGGCCCTCAGACCTCAACATTGCTTTAGCTATTAATAAACTAAGAAAATCTGTTTTTTCTTAACATTTTAAAGCAACAATAAAGCTATTTGGGAAAGTCGGTTTAATCACTTATGCGTTTTTTGGGATCGAAAAGTAATTATTTCGCAAAAACGAACATATGTTTCTTAACAAATAAGAATGTGTGGATAAGACGGAAACTTTTACGTACTCGTATTATGTTACAACTATTGAATTGTTGTCGTTACTCAACTATATTTTTAAAATTGCCGTAGCTCGTTTACAAAATATTATTTTGCTAAAAATATCTGTTACCATGGTAAGACAATCAGTATAAGTGTGGCCGAACATCTTTGTTACATTTCTTATCTTAACACTATTATACTATAAATAAACGGTGACGACAAAGATGGGTTATCTCCCTCGTGTCTTAATACTTTATGAGAGATTATCAATTGTCCCAGAAAGCAGTGAAAAAGACAGACTTATGAAACTGTAGAAAGTCAAGACGTGCGTGATGGTAGGCGTCCTGAGTAAGCATGCACCTCCCAAGATTTAGCTCGTAGAACTAAAATGGTAAGGAAGGTGGACGGATTGTTCTATATGCTTCGTGTAGATTGCGATGATCTTCAGCAATGAAAGGAACGAATAGCCAAATCTGTACTCATTGTCTTCTCAATTACAGTTTTAATACTTATTCACCCTCCACCACAATTATTACCCTTCGTTTCTAGATAATAAATCATGGTAACACTTACCACTATCATACTCAATGTTCTCTTTTCAGACTACAATGTTCAGGATTGGTTTCGCAGAAATTTTTAGAAGGCATCCTTTGTTGACAGCCCTGGGCTTAGCTGGCTGCCACGAAGCCTCTCCTTTCCACCCTATTTGCGCATCAGTGGCTACTAATACGTTTGGCAACATTAATGCGGTAAGATCTACGAATTCGTATTCATCTTCAAACATGAACCGAAAAGTATCTTCTGCAGTATCTAAATTAAACTTATGAGTATAATCTTCAAAGGCTGTTGAGCCACGAATTCAACAATTTCAACATGTTGTTGAACCACCTTCTCCTTACTAGATTAAAGAACCTATTGTGCCCATTTTTGTCCACCTAAGGGCCCACCTAAAAACATAATTAATTGGACAGCCGTGCATGGAAACGCACCCAACAATCGCCTATATTGACATTTATTACATTAAGGAAATCCGAACCAAACGATTTGTTCATCTAGGTGTAATGTTACATTATAAAAACATATTTTTCTTTTTTTTTTTCAGACAAAGTTACCAATCCTCCTAGGCCACAGTCCGGCTGGCTCGTCTATTCGTCAACTAGCCCATTATTCTCAAACTATTAGACGCAACGTCTTTGCTCGTTTCTACCACGATCCTATCACAAACTATCTTAAATATGGCAGCTTTACTCCTCCACCTTTTGACATGTCCAGGGTTACTGTCCCGGCTTACATACACTATGGATTGGCGGACCGAGAAACAAACTTCAGAGACTTATATATTCTAGCTGATAGATTATCAAATGCTATCGGTCTTTTTGGAGCAGAAAGAGAAACTTTTACCCACTATGATTTTGTTTGGGGAAGTGATGCTAAAACTGAAATATTTGACAGGCTTTTTGAATTGATGAGAGCAGCTGAACAAAATGATAGTACTTTTGGAAAGATGGTCGATAATATTGTTAATTAAGATGGGGTACAAACATATATTGTTTTGAACTCAATAAAAAGCAAAGAAAATTTAATCGTGATGTTTTAATGTAATTGGAATGTAATATTATAACAATAGGTAGCTTAAAAATGAAAGACGAAAGTATGTACAGTAAACAAATTTTCACTATAGCAGAGTAAGTTAGAATCAAATAAACACAAAAGATAACCGAATGTGATCTTAAGTCAATTTTGCTTACAAACAAAATTACCAAGACACTAAACTTAAACAATAATTTAAAATAATGTAATAAACGAATAATCTAACTCGAAACTAACTTCCAATAATATTGCACTAGTCGAAGTAAAGGTACAAAATCTCTTAAATTAATCGTTGGTATTGAATACACGCGAAACTTTAAGTATCAATACGATCAATACAATCCTGAAGGCATATCCGTCACTTTGTGGAGACCGTAGTTGCTGGAACTCATAGGGGATAGGGTTCTCTTCAAATCTGAGTGACTATGGGTTCCATTCATTACCAAACTGGTCATGCTTGCAGGGGCATCTCTCAAAATGTGCGGTCCAGAATAAAAACCAGCATTACTGTGTCCACGTTTCACTATGAAAGATGTGTTGCTATAAGAATTGTTATCAAAAGATGCAGAACTCAATTTGGGATGAGGTAAAAAGAATTTCTGAGAGTCATGCCTTTCATCTTTTGTTTTCTGACTGTTTCGGTCAAATCTTTGAGTGAAATTGGTGAGTCTACTGTTTGATCTTGTAACAGGAACCAGAGGAGTTTCATTTCCTGCATCACTGTTTGTAATTGAACACGATCTTTGCCTCCTTTCGTAAGGCCATTGAGGCTTCTTAGGTTCACTCAACACAACTATATCGACCATCGAGTTAAGCCCTTCATCAATTCTATCAAGGCTTTTGGTTAGCTTTTTAGATTCGATCAAGTTCACTATTTCGTCGACCCGACTACCTTTAGAATTAGATCTTTGCAGTGGAGTTCCAGATCCTATCAAAGACGTACGCGTGTCATTGTAAAACATACTATCGATGTACTCGCGTTGACGGGAACCCTTTTCTGAAGTTTGGAAGGATTCGCTTCGTTTTATGGAAATCCTTTTCGTTTCTTCCTTAGATCGAGTCCGTGAACGCTTCAGTCTATCATCCTTATCCCTTTCGTTCATGGCAAACATAGCGCGACGTTCATGGAAATCAAAGCTAGAACCAGATGTTTTCTTGGCGACACCATCTTGACAACGAGAGGCGCTTAGCAAAGAATCTGATCCTTCATCGCTGGAGTAGTATGTGTCATCATACAGATCTGGTGGTTTGTAAAGCATTCCTTGGTCTACCGGAGGGGCAAACAAATGTATCAAGCTTTTGGCTTTTCGCGGTGGATGTGGCAAAATTTTGCTTGGCACGATTTCATCTTCATCGTCATCGTTATCGTCAAGACACTCCATGCTACTCGTTATTTGAATACTATGCCTGGTGCTAGTGATAGAATCTTCCTTTTCTACATCTCTGTGTTTTTGACATTCAATCCCTTTGACAGAGACATTAATTTCAGATGTCTGATTGCACCTTGAAGATTTGTCATCCCCAAATGTCATTCTGTCTTTTGCGTATTGTTCTGATTCGGCGTGATTGACTATGTTTCTCAATTCTTGTATAACTTCGTCTATCGTTGTTTCTTCTTCTTCATCTGAGGATTTTTTATCATTCTTACAGTCTAGTTTCTTGTGCAACGTGCGCTTGTTTCTCATCAAGTCGTAGGTTTCATTCTTTACATTAAAGACCTCGTAAACCATGGACTCCCTTTGGGCGTCGCCTTCAGGACTCAGGGATCGTTCAGACGAGCTGATGCCTTCATCTTCCGGTGGAGAAGATTCGTCTGTAAAGACAAAATAAATATTGTAGTTTATGAAAGAAGTACAGTTTGTATACAATAATTATTCTATGTAATATTGTCCACATATGACCGTACCTCTACTTTCGTGCACTGAGTTTTTTTTCTTCAAACAAAAAGTTTTCTTTCTGTTGGTGTTGCCGTGTTCTGATCTCAGGGATGATACCTCTTCTTGTAGTTCACAACACTTTTCTTTAAGACACTTCTCCAGTGAGAGCAGAATTCCTTTTTCTTCTTGAAGTATCTGAAATGTAAAGTAAATCAATGATATTACTGAAAATTGTTGCATATTCATAATTCTTCGAAAGATTCCTATTTTAGTACCTTGACTCTCTTCTCCAACAACTCCAATTTGTGTCGTAAATCATCTTTTTCCTTCAGGGCTTCCTGCGCCTTCTCACTCAACGTATCGATATCTATCAACTGCTTCTCATAGCTCTCTATTTCTTTTAACATAACATCATTGGATTGTGTGTTCACTAGTTTAGACACCATCTGCGAAAGGTAATAAAATATCTAGATGTCTCACTTTAATTTTAGGAAGAAATAAATGTTGTTGCTGTAAGGTAATATTTTATATCCAATTAATGGCAATTTTGTATCCTTGTACGAGCAAACTTTGGAATCAAAAGGATATAGGTATATAATCTAGATATTAAAATATTCATACACACCTTCTTTAGAGAAATAATATCAAAGCCAGCCTGTTCCAATTCAGCCTGGATATAAAGCTTGCGTTGCGGCGCAGGTGCACTTGATAACAGCGCATTTATGAACGCCAAACCGACAGATTGAATCTCGCCGGAACCACCGCCGCTTTGCAGCATCCCAACTAAAAATCTGGAATAAAAGCAGATCAGCCTATTATAGCAGGTATCGACCTAGTACAATAAGAAATGTAGTGTATCTCTGTACAAACTTAGCAGCGCGCCTGGTATTTGTGAACGCTCGCCGTGTACGTTCACATTATCTCGCGTTGCATAACGCGGGTCGTCGCAAGTACTATTCACTATATAGAATTGAAGCGTTCGCTCGGTGTTTATAAAATGACATCATATTATAGACGTTTATTGTTGGGTTTAAGTTTTGTTGAACAAGAGTGCCTCAAATTCGCAACCTCAATATCTTCTAATTATGGTATTGTTTGATAAGTATAATATTCCAAATGCCTACAGCTGCTAAATTCGATTCAATATCCTGTATTTCTTACCTAAAGCGGACAGGTTCTCCATAGCGAAGTCGTAACGTAGAAAGTGCCTCTGAGACCATACTGTGACCATTTGCTGGTGGATAGCACGCTTTTGTTAACAGCTGAAATAAAAAAAACAAACACACATTAATAGGTAATCGGAATGTATGTAAAATCAACGATAGTGGATATATACAGCCAAGATAAACAATAATATGATTTTATTTAAATAAAACTTTTCAAATTTCTAAAACTAAGTATGTTAAGGTCACCAGAGGAGAAGGGGGAAAACTGTTTTGCTACATCAAATAAATTGTTTGGGTATTTACTATAAAATAATGCCCGAAATACACGAGGCTAGTTTTTCAATCTAGGACAGCAATCTAGGTAGCTAGTAACTCTGGCTTTGTATTTACAAAACTAGCTTCATTTCTAGGCTAGTAAGCTGGCGAGAAAGATAGTCTCAAGCTAGGATAATTAATAGGGTGAGGTTCTATTATTTGCGCTACTAGCTTCCCCCATCACTGATTTTACTATCCTGTCTTGTGTACTAGCTTCGTGTGGCCGGCGAAGACAGTATCCGATCGGATAGTAGGTAGCGATGACACGTTTCGTTTTCAAAGTTTTCCCGACCGCTGACCACGTGTTTCTGAGACAGTTTACATTGTGGAAACTGAGTACCGTAATTAATACAATTGTACCGCGAAGAGGAATGTCTGTCGAACGCCACTATTCCGAAGTTTAATGATAAATCTCTGCATTATTCAGCATTACAAAAAATGTGTGGCAAATTATAAATAATTGACACAGAAGTCAAGTAATAGTGTTTGTTTTACGAAAGATCTTCATTATTATACACAGACGTATTGTTACCTTAGTCATTGCAATGATACTAGCTTAAAATTAACTGGCATCATGTAAACCGTTCTAGCATGCGCCAAGCCAGGACAGAGTTACTAGCTTTCTAGCTTACTAGCACTAGCTTGCTATCTTAGCTTTAAAAACTAGCCTCGTATAGGTATTCCGGGCATAACGGTCTCATAAAAAATATACTATACCCCTAAGGATATTACTTAAAGAATGTACTAATTCGTTGTCCTTTATCGTTATAAAATCCCGAAAACAGGCTAGGAAACAATAAAAAACATGAATTATTACTAACTGTGCACATAATTTTTATACGGATATGTATCTCATTGAATACCTATTACAGAGAACCTGTCAAATTTTGGTTTTCAACTGAAGCCCAATAGTTATTAAATACTTTTTTTTTAATAACGTAACGGGACCAACAGTGGTATGCCTGGTGTAAGCTACACGTCTATCCATAACAGTTGCAGTGCCACTCAGAGCTTTAAATCGCAAAGATCCAAGGGGTACTGACACTACGCCTGTCACCCTGAGACATTAGTTGACATGTGCCTGTAATTTCACCAGCATCCTTACCCTTCAAAACCGGAACGCAGTAATGCTCACATTACTGCTTGACGGCAGAAATAGGTAAGGTGGCAGTACTTCCCTGGACGAACTCTTTCACAAGGAGTTCTACTGCTACTAAATAAACAAAACTTGAAAATCGGTTTAACGATCCGTCGTGCCGCCCGCTGCCCAGTCGCCATCGGGCGCTTGTCAACGTCGGATCTGTGTACATTTTTTTCCACCTGTTTTTATTTTATTCGTATACATTTTAAGCGCACAGATTGCGGGACGACCACCCTTGACGCCACCTTACCTCCTAAAACCTTGGCTCGCATTCAAACACCTCTCCTTAAAATGCAATTGACAATAAATTACCGCGCAAACGACACTAGTTGTCACCTCAGAACGGGTGTACGAAGAGAGGCTTCCCTGCACGACGTACCATTTATTTCCTGTAAGTCTGACGCACCTTGGGCAACAATGGAGACTGAGAGAGAGCGAGTACCGTACGCCGAATGGAAAATACTTTCCCATTATGGCAAGCATTATAATTAATAATTAAACGAACTTACCTGTACGTGAAGTTCGATCACATCGAGTATATAACCAGAAATAGAGACGAAATAAGGGCCATATATTCCTGGTAACACATTAGCGATACAGCTCTTATAAATATCAACTCTCGTTTGCGCTGAAATATAGACAGGCCAACTACTGACCTGTGTGTACGTCTCCGTATATTCTAAAAAATATTCTGTATTTATTGTAATAAAGATAATATCTCTAACAATGCCGTGCTGTTCTATTTGGTGGTGTTGGAAAAACAGCAAAACATCTAATTACAAAACAAAACGGAATCACATTTCATCGGTAATTAAATATGTAATTTTGCAATTTTCGTCCATTATAGCAAAGCTGAACTGGTCGTTTTTAAAGTGAAACAGTTGACCACACCCATTGACGACACCCGTCAATTGTCTCGAACTCGGGCTAGCCAATCGGAGCGCAGTTGTCACGGTAATGATATGGCAGAATAGTTTTCAAACAAATTAAATGACATTTCGTCTCTATTTCTGGTTATATACTCGGTGTTCGATCATAATTATATGAAGGTATTCGCCCGAGAGAGATTAGCACAATACTAGTAGTGTCGCATACGTAAGCCACTTTTACACATTAGTTGAGGGCAGAAAAATAAAAACCACCGCTCTCTCCTCCGTCGGTGTGGCGCTAACAGTAACAGGTAAGCGAACACCTGTTCTCATAGTTCCAACAATGACATTTCACGACATCTAGGGTGATCTGTGGAAGGGTGGGATGCTAATCTCTTCAGACGAATGCCTTCGTATAATTATGATCGTACTTCCCGTACAGGTAAGTCCGTTTAATCATTAATTATACTCGTATTCGTCCTTTGAGACTAGCGTAGTACTTGTAGTATTTGAGAGATTGGTCGTGAAATTATTTAATAATGACACTTTTTAGGAGTTTCATTTAAGAATATTTATTCAAATAACTGTGTTCTTAACAAAAAAAATGGCCTTTTAATCATAATGCAGTTACAGACAACGGCACATCAGACTACACATTTTGTTCGAAAATCGCCTTCATTGCAACCGAACAAGATACGTCAATGTGTAGCTTGATGTGCTGGCGTATGTACCTAGCATTTACAAATAATAATAATATTTAATATAATAATAAATAACAATTATTAGTATGAACTGGTAAATAAGTGACAATTTCTCAAAATACTTGTTGCAAAAAAATCACCTTGAGTATCTAAAACCACTTTTTGATAGAATTCACTGAATGTGTTCGATGAACCCATAGAATTGTTTCAAAATCTATCTTCTAATCTAAATTTGTAAAGCAGCTAAAGGTGCCGTTGCGGATGAACCCGACCACCCAGCTGTCCTTCTAATAAAATCTAGATTAACGCCTAGACTATGTGCCATAGATGTGGTGGCATGTGGAGCACTGTATGCTGAAATTAGAGACACATCAATGCCGCTAGAATGCAGTGTCCTCAACCCAACGGCCTAATGTCTGTGGTGTAACAGACCTATAAGGACGCCTAAGACTAATGAAAAGAAAATCACGATTACTTCTAAGATTTTTAGTTTTTTCTACGTAACATCTTAAAGTGGAAACAGGACATATTTGTATTTTCTCAGAAAATGAAGGAAGACAACAAAAGTTGCAAGTGGGTGAGGTCTCGCGCGCCCTGTGACCTGTTCGAGGTAACTCTCTCCGAGTTTAAATTACTTTTATTGACAGTTGTTTTATTAGTATTGGACTTCCAGGTGTTCTGTTTCGTATAGCTTGGAGTTTGCTTTAGCTCTGCACCTATTTTGTTATAGCTTTCGCAGATTTAGTAATTAATATTTCACTTCTTTTTTCAGTAAGGCGAGGATCAATTACCTTCTTGTTACAGAGTCACTGTACTGAGTGTCACAAATAATTCGACCTGCATCCATCAATAATTTTAATAAATTAGGATCTCTATTGTGGGAAATTAGTACGATAATGGCTTCACCCAGACATGCAATCGTACTAGCTAGTTGTTTTTGTTTCTGCTCCATGCCATCAAGTCTCTTTAATGTTGTTTCTGTATCTGTGTAACCGCTTTGACTTCAGGATTTATTTGCGGAGCATCAAGGCAGTTAGCCGGAGCCGGATATTTTTCTCGAAATTTTTTCCGAGTTTCTTTCTTGAGTCCATTTGTGGCTATATGATCGAATCTTACAGCAAGTTCTTTTTGAATGTCTTTGGTCTTTTGGTTTGAAGGGTCTTCTCCAAGGATGTCTAATATATCACTGCTCAGCTCTGATCCTACCAAGGGATCAGCATTCGAAAGCAAGGCGAGCGGTTCATTAGTAGGATCTATAACATCAGTTACCTCGTTTGAGATAATAGGCTCTACTGTTGTAGACGCAAGGTGCTGTATCTCGAGACAAGTCGTCGCTACGATAGCGCGAGCTGATGGAGTAGCGTGAATTTGCACTTGAGCAACCACGGTGTTTGCTCGTCTCGATATAGTATGACAACAATACGAACCACTTTCGTCACTACCAAGGGCGCCTGCAAATAACGCAGATAGAAAATAATCAGCGCAAAGGCTATAAAAAAATAACACGTGTCTTGAAAATAAATAGGTATATTAATTATGCGCGAACACGCACTTGGTAAATTATAATTTATGTTGTGTGCGTAAACACACTTCCATATTGAAGGATTGGTAATTTTCATAGTTAAATTACTGAATAAAATTATTATACAATTGCGAAAAAATATAATTATTATGCGCGATCACGAATTGCAATTGTCAAAATGTTTAATGCGTTGTTGAATGTACGGACAACGGCACATCAAACTACACATTTTTGTTCGAAAATCGCCTCCATTGCAACGGAACAAGATACGTCAATGTGTAGCTTGAAGTGATGGCGTTTGTACCTTTTATAGGCCAAGCGGAGCGAGCGGGCGAGCGATGACGTGGTTGGCGCAGTTCACTACGACGCGATGACGGTTCAGGCGATGCACATGATGATGAACTTGATAAATCCCAGGAACTTGATGATAAAACTCGCATACGACGTAAACGGTTTCGTTCAATTTTCATAATTTTCTCTTTAGAACACTGGTTTCATGAGCATCACTCTTACGTTTTCTATGAGGCATCGTTTTTTTATAGGAAGTATATATATTACGATTTTATATGAGAGCGGAGAATGTGCGAAGTAGCCTGAGCACGAAAACACGAATGAGAACTGGTAAGCGAACAGCGCAACGGGCCCTCGCCGACGGAGGAGAGAGCGGTGGTTTTTATTTTTCTACCCTCAACTAACGTGTAAAAGTGGTCGTACGTATGCGATACTACAAGTACTATGCTAATCTCAAAGGACGAATACGAGTATAATAATTTAATGCTTGCCATCGATGCGATAAGAAGGACTCAGAACGCGTGACGTCAGTTGTAGGTAAATAGGCCAAACAAACTAGACACTGTGCACATGCCACTAGCGAAAACTTTACGTATTTTATTCATTCATTCCATTGACTTACAAATAAATGGACGACGGGTCTAATACAAAAACCACGAAAAAAATGTCCCAAGTCAACCTATTTATATAAACGTAGTGACATGTAAAGGAATATGAAAAAGCTAAAACGTTGAATTTAAATTGTAATGTCATCGCAGTACTGTCTAATTTTGCTTGCTTCGCTGTCAGTCAAACAAACGAAGACTAAAGCGTGAATGACGCTCTGTATACGATTTTAACGCCCTATAAGTTCGGACACTTTTTAGCGCGGACCCGACGTCCATATAATTGTAAGTCAATGATTCATTCAATCTTTTATTTAAGTACACTATATTCAATCCAAAGTTTTCACACTTTTTACTTAAAAAGTTGTTGAACGTATGAAAAGTTTTAGTAAGTAATTGTTAGTAAAATTATAGATAACCCATTTTATTTTCACTTTTGTGTATAAAAAAAACATGAAAAGTGATGAGTACAAACCTGCAATGCCAAAATCCTCGACTTGTTCACGGTAGACATGATACAGACGGTGAGCGTGTAAATGCCATTAGAGCCGGCCACTAGCCGTCTCACGCAATCAGGGTAGCGGGTGCAGCAACTCCACAAACATTGACTGAAAATTAAAGAATAAATACTTTTTCTTGAATTTTTCTAAACAAACAATCTAAAAAAGTTTTCCTCCATTACCTAATAGCCACAGTAAGGGTAATAACTACCTGAAGATAATACCGTAGAATATTCAGACCTTGCAAAACTTACAATTTTTTTTACAAAATATAAAAAAATTATCAAAAATGAACTTTTAAGTTTTTGTTATATCGACTGAGTAAGTACAAACGGATGCTGTTAAGCATTGTGTCAACCGACATGATCATAGTTCTGACAAAATGGCGTCTAAAGATTGACGGAAGGAACCCTGTCTATATGTTTATAGACAGGTCTCCGTCATTCGCTCGAGGTTACGCGATAAGTGCCTACCGTTGAGTGTATCGCCTAGAGTGCAAGCGCTCAGACAAGTCTTACATTTACATTACAATCCTTGAACAACCCCAGCATTCGGTTACGCATGACTGCACACGTTTCTTGGTGCGTGCCTAGGTTCCTTTTTCCGCGTAGTTAGATTTAGTAGGCTATTATAGTGTAGCTATTTTCGGTTATGTATAACAATGATGTATCTGGTACGTAGTAACTATTAAGTAATCTGTGGTAAATAAATATTATCAATAGTTTCAAAGATATAAAAAAATCTGTATTTTTATACTAAATTTACTCGTATCGACAAGCAAATAGTCAAGCTGTACTTACAGACACGCCAGTTCATCAAGTAACGGCCTGCGTCTGACAGCCGGCGGCCCACGCGCTCCGTCTCCTGATTGGCTGAGTTGCACGTTGCGCAGAAGTTCCAACAGCAGAGTCACGCCATCTAGCGGCTCGCATGCGAATTCTTGGACGAAACTGAAATAGAACGTATTTGTTTTTTTTTTTGTATCACGAAACATTGCATTCTCCGTTTGTTCTGCGGCTTAACTGACAGATTATAATGTTAAATTGTTATTTATTTACTTATCTACTAATAATATCCGTAAGTAGTAATTTTCACTGGGTACACAGCGTTTTAAAGAGAATGAGGCTCTTAATTATGCATTTAAAATGAATCTTAGGTCTAATAAAATATATTTTCTCAAACACGCTTGGAAATGTTTGCATTACTTTCAAAAAACGTACACGGAAAGTTTGTCATTTATAGCCAGTGCGACTTCTCCCCAGCCAAGGCCTGCAAAGTGAGTATCAAAATCCATGTCCACTTCTCTAAACTTTTAAATTAACTTACTAATAATAAACTAAGTACGTAAACAGGCAAAAGAAAAACTCGTACAGCCAACTGCCCAGTGTTCATAGTTGCGAGAATTAAAAATACCTACCTACAACGCTTACTTAAAAAAAAGGAAATGGCGGTAACACTTCCTTTATTTTTTCTATCCTCTAACGGTAACACTTAAAGCAAGTGTTTTGATATTCTTTTGTTTTTTCGTCGTTTTTGTATTTTGGTCGCGAAAATGAGTGCTAGAAGAGCGATAACGAAAATACAGTAATAGATACACATTCAAACACATTATCAGAAGTTCAGCAGGCTACTGTTAATGTGCCCGGAAAAACAACAACATTTTCTTTTAGAAATTGTCGTAACACGTCAAATATTAGTTTTAATATTTTATTTTTACTTTTTCTATTAAACATCTTCCTTTCTTTAGTCTTTTATTATTTCCTCACATTGTTTGAGAAAAATTCTATAAATGCCTCGGCGGGAATGGGGATTGCTTGACTCATATTAACACAAGGCTAACTCATACTCATCCAGCAATCCCTTACCTCCCGTCTTACGTCCCGTCGTCCCTGCAATAATGTAAGTACTATGAATAAAAAGCAAACGACGAGAGGACGTAATGTCTTTTATATTGCATGATTTCAGCATTCTAAAGCAATTTTTGTAAAACCATCTAAATTACCAAATGGATTGGTCCTCTTGTCACATTATGAAGAATTCCAAAAAATTGAATAAACAAAATACACCTTATAATTATTACTACAAGATCGAATACTAAGAATGAACCAGCCGACCTTACGAATTTTTATATGTGCTTGTCTAAATCATTATTTTTGGTTTTTAACTACTTTTTTTGCCTTAGCGCATTCGGTGAGATATATATATATCAAACATGCTTGGAAATGTTTGCATTACTTTCAAAAAACGTACACGGAAAGTTTGTCATTTATAGCCAGTGCGACTTCTCCCCAGCCAAGGCCTGCAAAGTGAGTATAAAAATCCATATCCACTTCTCTAAACTTTTAAATTAACTTACTAATAATAAACTACGTAAACAGGCAAAAGAAAAACTCAAAAAGTAAAAATAAAAGTTTTTCTTCACACAGCCAGGTATCTTTACAGTTACCGGCTGATTAGGGATGTCGCTTTAGTAATGTTTGTAATAATAATTGTAACAAGTTATAAAAAAAAATAATGTTATTTTAGTAATACCAACAAACTTAATTCATTTTAGAACGGTTACCATGCTGGGGGTCGATTCAGAACCTTACGATAACTCATTGTCGACCGATTTCTTTTCATTTTTATTCACAACACCCGAATCGAACGTCAAACTGTCGTATTCGAAACCGAACCGAGATGACGTCCACCCGTACGATTACTCGAACTTCTCGACCGGCAAAGGCTACAAACGTTATTCACAACACGGTTATCGAATGAAAGTTAACGAACGTCCTATTGTTTACAAAGCAAGAATGTAATAAGGAAATCTCTTATTATTTTAAATAAAGTCTGGATTTTACTCAATTTTATTTATTTATTTTAATGCAAGACTAATGCATTCCTATATTTTAGGGCTTTAAAGTGTTAAAAACGTATATAGAAGGATTTTAATTTTTCTTATAATCAATTTCACCGACTAACTCCGTAAACGCTGTTGGATAACGATATTGTATCCTAATCCGAAGCGAACGCTTAACTCGGAATGTTCTGAATAGCTCAAAAAGCGCCCTTCGATTCGAGAACGATGTCCAATCGAAAAATATCGAAAAGTACTGAATCGGGGTCGCGGTCTGCCACGCAGAGGTTCGATCACCGGGCCGGGAGAAATATTTGTATGGTCTACATTTATTTCTCTCGTGAGTTTGGGTGTAATTTGTGGATATCTATGTGTGTCCATGCCACCTGCGACCCAGGCTTTCCCTAGTGCATGTGTGAGTTAATAAAGTTTATTTCACTATTAATACACCTTATTTATTAGCGTTGCGTGTTTTAATGCCTTGATTTTTCCAATTACACTCATTGTTTTAAAAATAAACATCATATTTAAGAGGCCAAGTAAAAAATCACTTTCTGAGGTAAAAAAGGACGCTGAGTGTAATGATACGGTGGTAGTTGATGCTCCTAATTACGTCTCACTTAGTGCGGTTGTTGCAATCGCTTTTTATTTATGGCCACGAGGTTAGAAGGTAGCGGAATGGATACACGCCTTGGTTACATAGCTGCGAAGTAGAGTTGTAGCATTTCGATATATTCTCATCTAGGGTGTTTATATGCATTCTGTTAAAAAACAAGTAGTAAAATTTTTAGTCCCTCGAGCCAGCTAGCGTCTAATTGGTCATACTACATAATTTTTCTTCAATTAATATTTAATTTTCCGACATTTTTTCGCGGGTTATTGATGTCTTTAAGGTGGCCCTTTTGGAACCCTTTAAGAAATAGATACTTAATACAACCCACTTAGGTTTTTTTTTTAAATGGTGTAGCAAACTCCACCACTGAATCATTGAATTAAGTTTAGTCACTCAGTTTAAGTAACATTTGCAATAAACTTATTGAACATCATGATGTGTTTAGAGCCATATTTTAATACATTTTTTGTCAAAATACTCAGTAGAGTAACTAGTAAGTTTGTTATTATTGCAAGCTATGGCACCGGCGTGGCAGCAACACTGGTTCGAGTCCAATTAGATTGAAGGATTTTTTTTGTATTGTTCGATCTTTTTATCAATAATATTAAGTTTTTTTTCCTTTGTTGTGGAATGCCTTGTAGCTAAACTGCTTATAAGTTTAAAAAGTTAAAACGTTGTACTTTTTTAATTAATCGTGCTTGTAGAAAAAGGACTTTTCACTTAAAGAACCCTGCGTTAACTTGAACACACTGGGGCACATCCATACAAGGCATTACTTTGTACCGGCTCAATTTTCATAATGTGGGTACTTTGAAATATATTTATATATTAGCGTAGTCGTAAAAAAATAGTAGAAATAAATGTCTAAAGATTACACATTAATTGACGTACGTTACAATAATTATTATTTAGCGTAAAGAGCAAACTTTGCGCTGGTGCACTTCACAACTGACAATAGTTAGCGACTCAGTAGTTTTATTACGAGTTGGTTTAAATACCCACATTTTAAAATTAGAGGTGTAACCATTACCTTGTATGGACGAGCTCCAGTTTGCGTCCCTTTAATTAACTTATAATTATATAAGTTTATTACACCTTTAAGTTATGTTTAGGGGCCCGTGAAATCGGTAGAGTATTAAGCGTTTTAAGCGTTTTTTAGTTTGAAGCTTACAAATTCGTTTAGAAAAACGTTTAAATCTTATAGCCACTTTATTTTAAAAGATTGCAACATTGTATTGACATCAAAAAGCGAGAGTAGGTTTTCATAATTATGTAAGTTTATTTGTGAAACACGAGTTTTATTTTTATGTTTAACATTATAATTCACAGTGACGAATTAATTTGTTTAGGAAACATAGATGATGGGACTTGACACTTAATTTGTACAAAAAATAATTTGTTAGGTATTGAGCGCGCCGGTGAGCTTATTTTAGAAAGCTAAATTTTTAAATGCTTTTCGTTTAAAAATCCACATCTACTTGTAGCTAAAGCTCAATAAAAAAAACGCCGTAAAATTACGGTGTTTTGTTATTTTGTGATTCCAGTGGTATTTAAAAACCGCATACGCTAGATGTGTCCCGGAAAAGCACTTGTTTTTGTATGAATCCGCTAATTCTAAAGCCATACAAAAACCCTTTTTGTGTTTCAAATTGCGGACGATTCCAGCGAACTCCCGCGCAAATTGTGACGGCGTTTTTCTTTATGCCACCAAATTATACGTGCCATGTTTATTGCGCCGCGTCCCGGCGTTAATAGCGTTTTTATTTACTTATTTTTATGGCTCACGAAATGGCACTGGCTGAAAAAAGACCATGGCGCCATGGATAAAGAAAAAAATATAAAATTAGAATGTTCGCGGATTTTTTTGTCCGATGCATGTCTGAAAATATTTAAAAATGCTGTATTTAATAGCTTGTGTGTTTTAGTTATTAAGGTTACGTGTATCTTGATTGAATTTGTTCGCATAAAAAGACATGTAACGGATGCAAAGCCACCGATAATAACACGAAAGGCATAAAGAAGTGCAGCGAGCTTTTTCATAAAGCAAATTATAAGTAACGACTATTATAATAATGAAAACCGAGTAATAAACGCTTTTATGGGCTTTATACAACTGTACAGACTTAATAGATACATCATGGGTACTGTATTTAATGTTTAATATGTGTTTGTTGAAACGTTACATTAATAGTGTATATAGGTTTTTAAGTATTGCATAATAATACCTATATACCCGTAGCGGGAAAAGCAATACTTGGTGCTGTCTCTAAAATTTAAGAGTTACAAGACTATCGAAACTATTTCATAAAAGATTAAAAGATAGTTAGATACTTAGAATAATAACGCATAGAAACCTAGCCCGCACACGCTAAGTGAGGCAAGTTAGAGGGTTCCAAACGCGTCCCAGGAGCGCGCGGGCTGTTAGTGCTCAAGGTCATATTGCACCGCGAACAGCTCCAAAATTTTTTGCTAAAAATGACGAAATGTGCGGTAAATGGGTGTAAAAATACAACAGACAAACAAAATAGACACTAACATCGCATTCCACAAGTAAGTAATGCGTTTCAACTCATATTTTTATGTAAATATTCACTAAAACAGAAAAATAATTTCGCGGCAACAAGATACGAAAGTGTTGCAAAGTAACGAATTTTTTTTCTCCCCATTTTGCTATTCTGTATCAAAATAATTATATTACGTAAATTTTAGTGGTGCCTGTAATTTCGATTTATTTGCGCATTTTGAACTAATATTTACTCGAATAAACATTAAATGTTTTCGTTAACTCCTGTAAGTGATTGGGACACTTAATTATTTTATAATACTTTTAACGGCTCTGCGTTCATGCTTTATTGAATAATTATTTATATTAATTTTATTTGAATTGGAGCACATATTGCAACAAATTTACAGTATATATTTGTTTCTACTATAGTGTTGGCACCACCAGTACAACTTTGATAGCTTATTATATGTCTTTCTTTTCGTAACTCAAGCGAAATATTTTATATTAAAATATTTTATTTTCTTAAAAGGGAGCATTCTTAAGCGATTTTTTTATCTATTTTAACAGTTATTTTCTTTAATGTTTGCTTATGGCATTTTCGGTTTTAGGTTTCGAATATGGCACTTATTTCTAAATCCAAGATGGCGGGCGCGATTTTTCGAATAATGGCAAGTTGGGTATCGTTTTTGAGATGTTTGGGAATGTTCAATACAAATATGGGACTCATTTCTAAATCCAAGATGGCAAACACGACAGTTCAAACAAAAGCAATATTCGTAATGAGCACCCCCAAATACCTCGAAAACGATACCCAACTTGCCATTATTTGAAAAATCGTGCCCGCCATCTTGGATTTACAAATAGTGCCATATTCACATTGAGCATCCCCAAA